CCAATGAAGTTATATCATATTGGTGCACCAATGGAAAGAGTAGCCATTGACATTGCTCGTCCTCTGCCCCAAACTTGTGCTGGAAGCAAGTACATTTGTGTGGTGATGGATTATTTCACCAAGTGGCCTGAGGCATATGCAATACAAAATCAGGAAGCTACAACTGTAGCTTCAGCTATTAGTAATTTCTTCTTTGAATCTGCTGTGGTCCAAGAATCCTGCAAGTTGTTTGGCATCCGAAAGACCAGGACAACGCCTCTTCACCCACAGTCTGAAGGGATGGTAGAAAAGTACAACTGGACACTGGGATAGGAATTGACAAAATTTTGTAATAGCCGCCAAGATGACTGGGATGTCTTACTCCCTCCACTGCTGATAGCCTATAGGACAGCAGAGCATGAAACCAATGGATACATTCCAGCAAAGTTGATGTTTGGTCGGGAACTTCGGTTGCCAGTGGATCTGATAAGAGGACACCCACCTTATGAAGAGTTGCCTGAAAATGTGTCAGAGTTTGTGAAAGTGTTATCGGAAAGGATGGATGATATTCACCATCAAGTACGTTTAAACCTGAAAACGTCTGCTGATTCGATGACGTGCTTTGTACCAGGAGACAAGGTGTGGTTGTATAATCCCAGGAAGACCAGAGGGAAGTCTCTTAAGTTGTCTTCTCCATGAAAAGGCCCATATGACATAGTGGATCGTCTCTTAGACGTGACTTTCCAGATAAAATGTGGTCGGCGAGGTAAGCCAAAAGTGGTGCATGCCAACAGGCTTTTGCATTATCACGGTCTAGGACATTTCAGTTGGGACGAAGTGAACAACAGAACAAATGACGCTGCTGAAGACATGTCACCTGAAAAAGCTACCATCAAAGAAGAAACTCTTCTCAGTTTTGAGAAGGGAAACGGTGAAGCTTTTGATGAAGTTACTACCATTGATGTGAATGTTATCGACGATAGGACATTTCCTGATGAAGCAGATGAACCCCATATGAAACAGAAGCCAACGAGACGGAGACCAGAACGGAAGAAGATACGTCCCATAAAATTAAGATACTTTGTTGAATTGTAATTTGTGTTTCTAAATTCTGTACATTTAATTAAGTTATTGTTAGTTGTTTATTGGTTTAATGTATGTGGGTATTGTTCGTCCCGAACAATACTAAGGAAGGGGCAGTGTTACGACAGCGGGGGTCACGTGACTCTAGTAACACGTCATGAGTTTCTAGAAAATTCATGTCTCTTC